CTTCTTCTTCTTCTTCTTCTTCTTCTTCTTCTTCTTCTTCTTCTTCTTCTTCCTCTCTCTCTCTCTCCCCCCTGTCTCTTTTCCTCCCTCTCTTCCCCCATTCTCTCTCTGTCTATTCACATAAATATTTATTTGTTAACTTTTATATTTATCCTATATATTGTCATATGTACTTGCCCTTCCCTCCAGTAGACTGTAAGCATACAGAGAATAGGGTAGGTTGCCTCCTATGGTGAAAAGGGTGATAGTCGGGGAGTTGGAAAGCCCCGGTTTGTCCTCCCTTTGACACAAACTACCTCCATGACCACTGGCAGGTGAGCTCCCCAAACGGGTAACCTCATCTGAGTGAGCCTCACCAGCTGGGATAATTACACCAGTCAGTGCCTGTCTCACAGAATTGGAGCCAGGCTCAAGTGAGACAATACATTGTCAGTACTCTGCAAACTTTGAAGAGTTCCCAGCAAGTGCGAGTTGGAAGGAACACCATCGTCGGTCCAGTCCAATCCATGCCCCCAAAGGAAGCCTTCAATGAGAGGTTCTTCTCTCTCTGCTCCAGTCAGGGCGAGCCCTCCATCTCCCGAGACAAGTCAGCTTAGTAGGAAGCTGTTCCTGGCGTCAAGTCTCGACTCAAACAGAACAAAGGGACTCCCTCTTGTTCATGACGGAGAGACCCAAAAGGGATACCGTGCACCTTGTTCATCTGTTTGTGCATCAGCGGCCAGAAGGGAGCGAGAGACTGCAGTTGTGTTCAGACCGGGGCAGCGTGCTCGGGCACTATCACTTCCTGATTTCTGGACTCCTGGCCTGCCCCGCCACTCTTCAAGAGTAACTGGCAGAAAAGGGGCTGACCTGCATTGGGGAAGGGAATTTCCTCATCTACGAGTTCTCTATCCCAATGACATCACAGTTCCAGTCGCTCCCTAACTCTTGCCTCTCTCATGCCAGCCCAATTCGCTGTTTTGACTCACGCATTACACCAGGGGGGCGGCTAGGTGGCGCCATAATGCACAGAGTGCCAGCCTGGAGTCAGGAAGACTCCTCTGCCTGAGTTCAGATCTGGCCTCAGACACTTACTGTGACCCTAGGCAAGTCAGCTTAATCCTGTTTAGCTCAGTTTCCTCATCTGTCAAACGAGCCGGAGAAGGAAATGGCAAACCACTCCAAGAACTTTGCCAAGAAAACCCCAAACGGAGTCACGAAGAGCCTCTGATGAACAACAATCAGTGATTCGTATTGATTTTGGCATTTTGGTGCTGCCTTGCTCAGAACCCTTTCTCAGAAAAAATGTCTTTAAATGCATAAGATGCATAAGCAATTACATTGAAATACATTAATGATTCATATTGAGCTTAGCGTATGAACCCTCTGGTTGTTATTGCTATCAGACAAATTATAAGTATGCCTCCCTCATCTCGGATTTGTGTAGTTGAGTTTTCTGAACCTGAGCCTCAGTCTTTGCATTTATGCCTGCCGAATTTCCTCCCTCTCTGTGATAGACCTTTTTGGATCCATGTTCCATAGTGTAAATGTGCTACATTGGAAAATCACCGAGCCAGTCCCTAACCTTTCTGTGACAATATAGCGATCTGACTGCCCTCTCCCCCTTGCACGTAGTGAGGCCACAAGATCAGTGGTGTAGAACTGGCCAAAAAAAAAAAGTGCTGCTCTAATGGATAAAACCTGCTCTTAACTTTGTCGTGGTCCCCCTTTGGCATTTTGGTACTGCCTCGCTCAGGGAAAAAAAAAGTTTTTAAATGCATAAAATACGTAGGATTACAAAGGGAACCAATAACTCTGAAATAGTAATCTAAAAGAAGAAAGGTCATTGACACTCCCGTCCCATCCCCCCTTAACCTAATGAAATACAACTAGAGGTTCAAATAGGATCATAGATTGGAAGGGCCTCAAAGGGCACCAACTCCCTCGAAACTGAGGCTAAGGGAGGCTGATTGTCTATCCCAAAGTCACACACAGGTAGTAAGAAATTGTACCCAGGTCTTCTCGCCCCAGGGCCTGCTAATGCGAGACCCTTTAGTCTGCGGGACGCTGAACTGACCAGCAAACCAGGATTCCAGCTCCTAGCGGCACTTGACATCAGTAGCTGTGCGTCCCCTGACAAGTGCCTTGTCCTCTCTGGGCTCAGTTGCCCGGAGTCCGCCGGTGCCAGGTACCCCCACCCCCACCCCCACCCGCGGGGTGTGCTTTCGGTTTTGCCCTGGGGCGGCAGCGGTGGATCCCGGGCTAGCTGCGGGACGGGATCCGAGGGGCGGGACGGGGCTGGGCGGGGCCGGGCGGGGCGGAGAGGGGTGGGGACGGCTCACCAGGGCAGAGCTCGGTCTCGGGATGAGTGAGATGGGCGGCCCGAGGACTTAATTCGAAAGAGAGTCCGGCTCTGCCGGCTCTACGTGAGACCGAGAGGCTGATGTAGAGAAAGACGGAGCTTAGGAGAGACAGACAGAAAGAAGGAAAGAAGGGGGCGGGGGGCGAGAAGAGTACGGGGCCCCAGGGGATCCGGGAAAGTCCCGACGGTTGCTATAAAAGGGACGCCCCCTGTTCACCTTCAACCCAGCTCCCACCTGCGCTGCAGCCTCCAGCCCAGCCCAGCCCAGCTTCGCCAGTCGCCGCTGCGCTCCCGTCATGGACTCACGCCGCTACGCTAGCCTCCGATGTGAGTAACCAGCTGGACCAGCGCCCCTCTCCCCGCCCCGCAGCCTACGGGCCCCAGCCTAGGGATAGGAGGCGGCCCAAGGGGGCAGAGAGGGCTGACTTGGAGGGGATGTGGGGATGCCATTTGGGAGAGACTCCAGCATTTTGGCAGAAGCAGGGTGCTGCAGTGGGCCCCACTGGAACTGGAATAGGGGAGACCTGAGTTCGAATGGCACAATTTAGTACCCATGTGACCTGGAGTACCTGCTCGGGTCTTCATTTTCATTATCTGTTCAAAGAGATGGAGGAAGGGGGTTGATGAATGATACAGTAGGAAAAATGCTTAATCGGGAGTGAGACAACTTGGGTTCAAATTCCGACTCTACTATTTCACTTGGGCAAGTCACTTGATGTCTCTAGGCCTCAGTTTACCCAACTGCGACATGAGGGAGTTGGACTTAATGAGCTCTTTATCTGTGATCTTATGATAAGGAGAAAGTTTGGTAGATCCGGAGTCTGAAGCTGAGTTCAAATCTCTGCTCTGCTCCTTACTACCTGTGTGGGTTTGTTTAAACCCCATTCCCCCTTTCCCCCCCAAGCTTCAGTTTCCTCCTGTGGAAAATGAGAGGGTTGGATCTAATGACCTTTAAGAGCCTTTCCCAGCCTAGGACTGAATGTCTCCTGTAACTTGATAAGTACCTTGTAAATCAAAATCCTTTGGGTGGAGAGCCGGAAGATGAAGAAAGACAGGCAGGAATAAAGTGGCCTCACTTAAATCCTATGCTTGCCGCACGGTGTCAGTGCCCACAGAAATGCTACCCTCTAACGGGGGAAGCTTACAGCAAAGAATCTCTCTTTTTGGGAAAAAAAAAAAAAGAGAGATTTGAAGACTATGATAGGTCTAGGGGAGAGAATAGAGAGGGAAGTGAAGAATGGGATAGAAAGTTGGCATGGGAGAGGGGGTGAGTGGTGAAGGGACGGAAGCTTAAATAAGACATGAGAGAGCTCTGGGCCCAGGAGACAAAAGTAGATACCCTGCTGCTCCAAATGCCTCTTAGAGAGGAGCAAAGATCAGCTTGAGATGACCACCCTCTCTTTCAGATATCTTCCTCATTGCCACATTTACTGGCCTCGGCCAAGTCAACTGGGCCAAAAGCCTTCCTGTGATGCAACCTGAACCCAGCATGCACCAGTGTCTCAGAGGCTCCAAGAACATGTTGGAGGCCGTAAGCAACACTCTTCAAAAGGTAAAGCAAAGATTCTTTTCCTCTATGATATATTAGGGTCTTGTAGCTTTTAAATGTGCCCCTCTTTACTTGTCGATGCCTAAATGAGCCAAAGTAATTTTTAAAGTTTTAATTTTTTTCAACTAAAAATCATTAATTTTCTCTTTTTCCCTGCCCCAGCTGAGGGAAAAAAGAAGGAAAATCAAAACTTTATAAATAATATGCAGAGTTAAGCAAAACACACTCCCATGCTGGCCATGTCAAAAAATGTCCAGAAACATCTCGCTGTTTTCTCTAAGTCCATCATCTCTCTGCTAGGAGGTGGGTAGCTTGCTTCCACATCGGTCCTCTGCAATTGTGGTTGGCCTTGGTCAGAGTTCTTAAGTCTCTCAAAGTTGTGTGTCTTGAAAGTTGCACGTGGCTGACAGCTGGCGGTTCCCTCACTCTTAAAAGTGGGGGACAATTGGTTAACTCTTACTAAAGGAGAGATTAGTGAACAGCACTAATTGATCAATTGCTTGCTTAAGAAATTGCTCTAAATTGCTCTAAAATTGGCCAAGAGGAGGGTGCTGCTGAATTTATATTGTCATTGTGGAAGTGGCAGGTATAGAGACAAGGGTGTTTGCCATGTCTCATGACCGGTGATAGCATGAATAACTAATTCAGAGCAGAAATTCTCTTCTGCCCTGTTACCTTGACATGGTCCTTTCCCTGCTGATAACACTTACCCTTTTCGCAGGGGTGGGAAACCTGCAGCCTTGAGGCCACATGTGGCCCTCCACATCCTCAAATCTTGACCCCTTTGAATCCAAACTTCACGGAACAAATCCCCTTAATGAAAAGGATTTGTTCTGTAAAACTTGGACTCAGTCAAAAGATTGCACCCAAGGACCTAGAAGACCACATGTGGCCTCCAAGCCTCAGGTTCCCATCCTTGCATTATAGCTTTAAACTGGGAGATCTCAAAAGTGAAGTGGGCTGTGTTTTCCTCAAGTTCAGATATATCTGAGAAGCATCAGGGTGTGTTGAATTGAGGACGCCCCTTGAAGGAAAGAAGACTTAGGCTCAAACTTTAGCACCCCGGGGGGCCACTCTCTAAAGAGACTCCCAACTAACCTCAAGGCTACAGAGGGAATTTCCATACAATTAAAGCATAGGCCGACCCTGTCCCCCACCCCCTCACATAAACTCCCCACCTTATTTCCTGCCCCTGATAACATCTGGATTTCTCATTTTAAAATACAAAGGCAAGCAATATCTTTTTGGAAGTGCTCGATCTAGTCAGTGTTGCAGAAAAACTGACATTTCCATATGTGTCCCAGAAACTGTATTAAAACTTTCCTTGGGTGTTTTCTTGTTGCTTATTATTTAAATACCTTTCCATCTCACTTCCATGCCACAAGGCTCCTTTTGACCCAGGCTTTCTCTTTTAACGTTTCCTAGTGGGACACCAAGTGAAGCTGTCATTGAGTCCAATCTTGATTAAAAAATAATAATAATAATAGCTAACATTTATATGGCACAAATGTGCCTAGCACGTTACAATTATTATCTCATTTGGTCCTCACAACTACTCTGAGAGGTAGATGCTATTATTATTCCTATTTTATTGATGGGGAAATTAAAACAGAGGTTAAGTGACTTGCCCAGGATCACATAGCTAGGAAGTATGTGAGGCTGGATTTGAACTCAGGTCTTCCTGACCCCTGGCCCAGTGTTTTATCCATTGTGCCACATAGCTGCTGCCTACCAGTGATGATAACCAAACTGAGAAATACCATTTCAAAGAGAAAAAAAAAATGTTTTGATTGAATGTATTATACACTGCTTTAGTTTTCTCAAAATCCAATCACGACAAGTCATTCTGTTTCCATTTAAGAGGAAAATATGTTCTAAATGAAAGAGTTGTTAGTTCAGACAATGTAACAGTAATTGGGTTGAAAAGGCTCTGGTATTTAACCTCAGGTTATTCATAGCATTCACCTGGTCAGATTCACTGGAGGGAAGTGCCAAAGTGACTCATGGCTACCTGTGTTGCAAGGAGCAAGAAACAATGTATCTTTGAAAAGGAAGAAGTTGATTTCTGCCTTTTTGATATAAAATTCCTGGATGTGTGATCTTTAAGGTTCTTCCCAGTTCTAAATGCATCATTCTATGAAGAGTTGTACTCTGATCTCAGAAACTACAAATGAATTGCCAGTCTGCTTCATTGGAGGGAATTTTCATAGCTGAAGTTCCCTACACACATGAAATCATAGTTGAAAATAAAAACAACAGCAACAAAAAATTAAAGCAACCTTATTGTTTCCTTCTTTGAAAGTTACACTTGAAAAAAGATTTGTCTTGGGTGGGGGAGGATTATTTGCCTCAAGCAAGTATCCCAGAAGGGATCACAAAAGAAGTATCACAGAAGGATGGGTGCTAATGAAAATAGTTTGCTGAAATGATTTATGGTGTTTGTATAAGGGAAAACATGTCACTGAAAAAACCATGTCCAAAGTGGGAGGAGCACATGATTGAAATGAAACAGTATCTTCTTGTGGTTGAACACAATTTTGAACAGGACAAGAGGATGAAAGCCAGGGCAGCTATATTTGTTCCAATCTGACCCACCATGACCTACTTCCCTAACACACTAGTGAAATTCATCAGTTGGGCTATTTAAGAGGCTGATCTACCTGTGCCTTTATTTCTACAGGCAAGCCAAAAACTTGAATTGTACTCTTGTTCCTTGGAAGAAATTGATCATGAAGATATCACTGGAACCAACACAGTGAGGGACTGCATACCCCCAGAATTAATCAAGGTAGAAACAACATTTTTTTTTGTTTTCCTCTTCAAAAAAAATTTCATTTCTACACCCATCTGAGCAAAATTTAATCACTATCATCTGACTTTTCTGATTCTAGAATGGAAGTTGCCTGGTTTCCAGAAAGACACTTTGTGTTAAGGTAAAACAGGAAATTCTCCCCTGTTGTGATTTTTTTTAAAGTTCTTGTGAATTTCTGTGTTTCCTTAAACCTTGTGTTATGCCCTGCAGAACTGTTGCCTTAAAAGCATCTATGAGGATCTGGAGATCTATAAGGCTGAGTTTAATGTGATCAAGGAAACTCTTGCAAAGGATCCTACAAGGCAGATTTCTCTGGACCAAAATATGTTGGCTGCTATTGATGAGATGATGCAGGTAAAAAAAAATTTATTGCTCAGGTTTTTCTACTTGTATTATATGTCAGCCAGTCAAAAAGCATTTATTAAGCATGTATTAAATGACTACTGTGTGCTAAGCTCTGGGAATACAAAGAAAGTGAAAGATAGTCCCTTGCTGCCCAGGAGCTCAAGGATAGCAGGAGAATAGGAGTCCTTGATTTATTAGTACCCACAATGAGTACCCACTGTATTTATTGAATGGTACCCAGCTGTGCCCAGCATAGTAGTAGATAGGAAAAAAGTACTTCAAATGTCCTGTCTTAATAAGATTCAGTCCAATGTTCTTGTTCAGTCATTTTTCAGTCATGGCAGACTCTCATAGCCCCATTTGGAGTTTTCTTGGCAAAGATACTGGAGTGGTTTGCCATTTCCTTCTCCAGCTCATTTTACCGATGTGGAAACTGAGGCAAACAGGGTTAAGTGACTTGCCCAAGGTCACACAGTTCATAAGTGTCTGAGACCAGATTTGAACTCAGGAAAAGAAGTCTTCCTGACTGCAGGCCTGGCACTCTGTGCAGTATGGCACCACCTAGCTGTGTGGGAGGGAGTACATCTTGCAAATAGATAAGACAGTAGTGTGCTACCAAGGAAAATGCATTGTCTGTGGAGTCAGAGGAACTGGGTTAGAATTTGACCTCTGAAACAACCTGTGCAACCACAGGCAAGTCACTCAACCAGTGACCCAGCATTTATTAAGTGCTTACTGTGTGCTATTGACCACGGACAAGTCACTCAACCTGTGACCCAGCATTTATTAAGTGCTTGCTGTGTGCTAGACATTGAAAATACAAAGACAAAACCAAAACAGTCCCTGCCCTTAAAGAGCTTGCAGCCTGCTAGGAGGAGGATACAACATATATTTCAACTCTTTCATCTGCTCATGCCATTCCCTCTCAAATTACCTTACATCTACCCTCTCTGTATCTTGTGTGTAGCCTAGTTACTGGCGTATGGTCGCCTGCCATTTGAGTGTGAGCTCAATGAAGATTGTCTTTCTTTTGTATCCTGGCACATAGTAGGCACTTAATAAATACTTTTTGACTTGACTTGACTGAGGAAAACACAAGGTATGTAAAAATCAATTTCAAATGGAAGAAAGCGCTAACCCTGGGGAAGAACCGAATGGAGAATCGTCAGTGATAGGAGATGACAAAGACAGACAGTTCTGATCAATTACATGAATCAATTCCAGTTCTAAAGTGAGCATGATTTTTATGTATGTAACACATATAAAAATAATCAAGAATTGCAGCAGATGCCATCTTCACTGGATCATTCCTTTGCAGAAACCAGCTCCCAAGTGATGGTTTCCAAAGGGGCTTCTAGAGACTTTCCAAAGTTCTCTAATCGTCCTGGTCCCTAGGTAATTCCTTCGCTGCTGTGTGGCTGTCTGGATGGAAGACAATTGGGGGATCAAGCTTGGGATCTGGGAAGTCAATGAGAAGATAGCATAGTATGGTGGAAAGGGCAGTGGCTTACAAGTTAAAGGACCTGGGTTGAAAACTTGGCCCTGCCACTTTTATACCCTTGAGCAAGTAAATTCCTTTTTCTAGACTTTATATATAATGAATATGTAAAATGAGGAGAGTTGGACTGGATGAGCTCTTAGGTCCTGTCCAGTTCTCGATCTATGATAGTAACCTATCATGGTTGGATTTGCTTTCGTTTTGGAACACATTCTCTGTCATGCTCTATCTTTACTGTCCTAGGCCCTGAATTTCAACAGTGAAAATGTGCCATTGGTCTCTTCACCCAAAGAACCTGACTTTTACAAGACTAAAGTCAAGCTCTGCATCCTCCTTCATGCTTTTAGAATCCGGGCTGTGACCATCAACAGAATGATGAACTACCTGACTGCTTCTTCCTAAAGGGCTCGTCACCCAATGACTTTAGGTCTTTGGGATAAAAGCAAAGCCTAGAGCCTGAAGATCATCACCATCATGGATTGACCAATAGCAATTTTTATTGGAATGGGTTGGGGAACTAGGGAAGGGGTGGGATTGACTGGGTTCTATTTAATCTTGCTTAAATTATTCTATTTATATTGCCTTTGTTTACATTCTCCATAGCATGGTCCATGAAGGACATGGTCGTTCTCAATATTCACCATTCATTGGATCAATGTACTTCACTAAGTTTACAATGGATGGAATTATCTTGGTTTTCTTGACCAAAATCACCAGTGACTATGAATGTTCTGGCTAATCATCTTACTCTTTCTCTTACTTTGATAGAAAAAAAAAAAGTATTTATAAGCTATTTCTGTACCTAAATGTTATCTGAAATATGGAACACTTGAATGTATTCAGAAATATTTATTCAGAAATATTTATTCAGAAATATTTATTTATACCTTTTTAAGTTGTTGTGGAAGCATGTTGAAAAGTAACTTATATTTATTTATATTTATTCAAGTATTTATCATCTAATTAATTTGAGACACTCTCTTGTGAATTTTGTTCTTATATAAATAAAGTTTTGATGATACAGAGATTATGATGTCCCATGTTTTGAAGTCATAAAATATCACCAGAAGGATATTTTCTTTTTGTGGGATTTGGGTTTGCGATTTCAAAGGTGTAGGGACCTCCCTTTGTGAAAACTTCCTCCATTAATGTAGGTCAGAAATTCACCTCTAATGGATAGGCCTTGAGAGTTAGCTGGGGCCCTAATAGCCACAAAGCCATCTATGACCTTGTGATTTGAACCCAGATCTTCCACATTCCATTTTCCATTCTGCCTCTCAACCAGAATAATTTTTAATTTTTTTTTTTTTTGGAACAAACTGGGATTTCATTGGCATAAGGAATTCCCTTCAAGGAATCTCCCTCCACCAATGCTAGTTAGCTCCTACTCTGCACTTGTAGAACCTTGGAGAGTTGCCGTAGAGCACTGAGAGGTCCACTGATTGACTTAGGGTCACACAGTTGGTCGATGTCAGAAGTGGGATTCTGGCTCTCTCCATTACTCCATGCCACCTCTCTCACTAGAAAGGTATTAGAAGGATACCAGAAGGCATTAAAATGATACTTTATTTTGTGCTAGAGGTAAGCTTGGGATCACTGGAAGCTCTTCATGCTTTTCCAGATGCTCTGCTGCTTGCCCTCACCCTGCTATTCAGTCCTGAACCTATGTGGAAGTGGTAAAAAAGCAAATTAAGTTCGCAATACTTCCTAATGATTAGAGCTGTCCAAACAGCCTCATGGTGAAGTGGGTTCCTCTTCACTGAAGGTTTTCCATCTGGAGAGCTTTTCAAGCTGAATAACTTTCCTAAGTTTAGAACATATTCTTAATTCAGGTGTAGGTTGGACCGGGTGGTGGCCAAGGCCCCTTCCAATCCCAAAGTTTCTGTCTGGGTGAGCTATGGTTGCACTCCACAAATGCTCCACTTCCATGTTCATGAACTCTGAATTTCTCTTATCTGATCTGTTGTCATTCCACCTCTTCCTGGGCTGTGAAACCTCAAACCTTCTTCTTCATTCTCACTGTGACATCCAGTACCACGACCCCTCCGTTCTTTCCCGGGGTCATCACCACTGTACTAGCTATGCTTTTCTCCCTTACCTCTCTTGGCCTCTTGGTGAACCAATTAAAACTCTACACTGGGCTCTTCTCTCTAGTCCCTTGTCCCTTATCCCTAGCTTCAGCCTTGTGTTACTTCCACTATCCACTGTTTTCACTCCCACTGGTGTTGCTGAATGAAGCTGGAGAAAATTATGAAACCATCCCATTTGGGTTCAATTTAAATGTGTTACATAATCCCAACTGGATCCTCACTGCTACAAGGCGGTCCATTTACACACATACCCCCATTTAATTCACTGGTTAATTAGCTGCAGCACAGTGGATAAAGCCCCAAGACTGGAGTTAGGAAGACCTGAGTTCAAATCTGGCCTCAGACTTTTACTAGCTGTATGACCTTGGTCAAGTCACTCAACCATGATTGCCTCAGTTTCCTCATCTATAAAAAGAGCTGGAGAAGGAAATGCAAACCACCCCAATATGGGGTCACACAGAGTCAGACACAACTGCAAAATGACTATACAACAATTTACTTTCTCTCCTACTCACCATAGCAGCTTTTCCAAACTTTTTCCTCCCTCCTCAAACCTCTCATGGCTATTCCTCTCTCCTCCCTCTCAGCTAAGAACATTGTCTCATATTTCACTGAAAAAAAATTGAGGCTGTTTACCTAGAAGTTCTTCTTCTCCCCTCTCACTCCTCCTCCCAAATCACTGAGATGCCTTCTGCCACTATCTCCTCCTTCCTCCCTATCTCACATTAAGAGTTGGTCCTTCTCCTTCCAAGCCAACCTCTACCTGGACAGGTAAGTCCATTCCATCCCGGCTTCTCCAGCAGAGTGGCCCTCTTATCCTCATCACTCTCACTTAACTTCACTCTCTCCACATCTACTGGCTGCTTCCTTGCTGCCCACACACACACACTCATGTCTGCCCTATCTTCAGAAATTCTCACATGATCTGTCCATCCTCACTAACCTAAATCTGCAGCTGTTCCCTGATCTAATCAGTCAGTGACCGAGCCAAAAGTGAGCAACTTTAGCCTGGCATGACTTTTATTTGATTAAGCCATGCTGGCTCTTTGGGATCACTATTTCCTTTGTCTATTTGCTAACGACCTATCCCTTTAGTAAAATATTCTAGGATTTTGCCAGAAAATCTAGGTCAAGTTCATTGACCTATATTTTGCATGCTCCACTCTCATCTTTCTTTTAACATTTAATTTTTTTCTCAACTACATGTAAACAAAAATTTTTAACATTTAAATTTTGAGCTCTAAATTCACTCCCTCCCTCCTTTCTCCTCCCCTTGTAAAGGCAAGCAATTTGACAGATTATACATGTGCAGTTATGCAAAACATTTCCATAATCTTTTTTTTCAATTGATCAGGACAATTGCCTTTCTTCAATCCTGTAGTATGTTTCCCATTAAATAAACGCTTGTTGCCTGACTGACTTTTCCAAGATCTCTCAGAGATGGCTGGTAGCATCACATTTACCAGTTCTTCCAATCCCTAAGGCTGGATTTCTTCTGGGCCAGGCCAGCTGAGCTTATCAAGGACAGCTAGATATTCTCTTGGTCCCCCCCTCCCCCCACCCCCTCATCCCACCCCTCTCTAGCTTGAGTAGCAACACCCTATTAACCGTCTTTGTTCTGACCTTTCCAGTTCAAAGTCATTTTTCTTGGCAGAGCAATGAGATTCTGTCTCTGTGGTTAATTATTATCATCGTATCCATCCTAAGAAATATTGCTATCGCTTTGATTTTTAAAAAAATTTCCATTAATTACATCTTGCATAAAACCATCCTTTTGGGGGTTCTTGGTTTTTCTCGCTATTCCAAGCTGTAAGTCTCCTGAAACCACTCTTACAGGATGGTAAGATGACTCTTTATGCAGCCTTACTTGCTAAACCTTGCTTCCCTCTTGTGTGCGAGTCTTTAAACAAAAAAAAAAAAAAAGCCCTATTGGTTGGCATGTCTCTGTTTATCCACACTGATGTGTTTAGACAACGTCCAATTTTCCCCCTCGTCAGAATAATTTTTCTTTGTGTCTTCAGAATTTCATTGTTGAGAGCTTCTGTCTCTCTTGGCCTGGCTTCCCTATAGAATTTTAGCCCATAGGGTCCTACTTATCTTTCCTCTGACCCTTTGAAATCCATTTACTCAAAATCAAAGATGCATGACTGGATTTCCTCTCATTCTCTATCACAAACTTTAAAATGAAATTTCCCTTCTCAAAGTTTTCATCATTTCCACCCCATCAACAAGTTCAAGGCTGTTGGTTGAGAGCAGGTCAAGAATAGCATTCCCCTTGTTGGCTTCTCCACCTTTTGAAGGACGAAATTAGCATGGAAACAAATCGTACATTTATTAGCTGTTCTACATTGGGAAGAGTTCCAGCAGTTGTCTGGATAACTGAAGTCCCTTAACACTATATTTTCCATCCCGTTCCATGCTCAGTATTTGACTGCCACACACCTCATTCTTACCCTGCAAATGATCTGCAGAAATCTCCGACGACAATTTTTCTGTTTTGTTTCTGCTTCCATTGATGTCCACCACGCTTCACTCCTGGATTTCCTTATGAGTATACCTTCTTAAGATTTATGACCACCTTTCCCCTTCCCCTCCCCCAACCATAACCTATCTTGTTTCTTTTGAATGAGCAACATCCTTCCAGAGTCATGTTCCAGTCATGGGCCCATCCAACGAAGTCTCAGTAAGAGACTTGCACTCACTCTTTGCCTCTGTCTTTTAGCAAAAGCTAAAAACTCAAACTCTACCTTCTAACTGAGCCCTTTCCTTATCCCTCCAATTGCTACTACCGTCTCCCCCAGATAGATGCCCATACTCAAGCAACACTCCTTAGTGAGGCCCAAACATATTAAAATGTGTTGGGGAAATATTTAACAAAATAAATAAAAATAAAATAGAATATAAATAATGTTAACGGTTTTCTAACCCAACAGGTGACTGAGGGATCCTTATTATACTTCAGTGTCCCTATCTCTATTTGATTTTGATAGTACTGATCTAGGCCTTCCATAATAACATAAGTTGGAGTTTGAGGTATGCAATACCAATTGATGAAGAAACTGAGGTGCAAAAAGAGGAAGTGATTTGTACACAATCATCCGGGTATTAAATAGTACAACTAGTTGAATCCAGGTCCTATTTTTTCGGCCGACTCTGAGAATAAACAAGGAGAAAGACTGAATTAACTGCATTATATTTCCAATGTTGACTTGGGCAAAATAAACTAATTTTCGAAGGAAAAACAGACTACATAGTCAAAATAATAATGTTTTTAAAGAAAGTAATGCTTTAATGTTAATGTCTTGAAGAAAAACATTTCCCACTTAGAATTAAAATGGTTAAAAATTCAAAATCACACGTTTGCTTGTTTGATTTCAAAGTAATTATATGTGTTTGTTGTTGAAGAAAATATCCAGAATCCATGAGCTTATTGTTTTGGTTAAATAAAATAAAATAATATGATATTAATAGAGTATAATAAATATAATATTATAATATTAATATGATATATAACTAATATAATACTATTTGGGCAATTGTTGCCCTTCAAATACAACATGGCACCACCACATCCATCTCCTTTAATTGGAGATGATTTCCCTCCCAACAATTTACTTTGAATCGTAGTTTTAGAGTTGTAAAAAAAAAAAACCTTAAAACTCCTTTGCAGGTTCCTTGTATAAGCAAAATAACATTATTTTGAAGCAACAGGACAGAAGGAAAATGGTATCATGGCTCATAAGATCATAGATAGAGAACTGAAAGAGACTTTAGAGGCCATCTGGTCCAATCCCCTCATTTTACAAATGAGGAAACTGAGGCTCATGTAAGTAAAATGTGCTTACCCAAGGTCACATGGCTATTAAATGCCTGAGTCAGGATTTGAATCTAGGACCCTTGTCTCCAAGGCCCATATTCCTTCCATAGTACCTTGCTGCTTTTGACTTAGCTAGCAGGGAGTTGTTTCAGGCAAATACAGGTAAAAATGCCTTCATCAGACTAACACAGTCAGTGTTAGGGGGGTATTTGAACCTTTGACTGCAAATATAACTCTATTTCCACTTTGCCAATCAAGTCATTGGAAGAAGTTACTTAAATAATGATTTAAATTCCTTCAATCTTCCATTGGTATGAGTTTTCCCTCCACCCATAGAGATTTCAATCCTTTCATGTCTTAGCATAGTAGGTCTTCATGAGCTGATATTGCCCTATGGACAACTTCATGGTGAGCCTATCAGACAAGACGTACATCATCTATCATAGGGTCTCAGTGACAAAGTACGACCAGCAGAAACTTCCATTTTCCCTAATCAAGCTTCAACCACTGAGTCACCTTTACTCTGGGAAGACTTCGGTCAACTTTAAACTAACTTTATTTAGTTGAAACTCACTCTGCTTTAAGGGATGTAGGATTATAACCATTGGTCATAGCAGAAATGTAAATCGGATGACTTTGGATGAGTCATTTTCCATCCCTGTGCCTACAAATTACTTAGCTATAAAATCAGAGGGTTGGACTCAAGATTTTTTTCCAGCTCTGACATCTTGAGTCAATCCAGAAATCCAAACACAGTATGAGTATTTAGTCCTACCAAAAGCAGGACCACCATCAGACCATCTTGAGCTACTGCTTACGGGATGGGAATGAGGGGCCCTCCTTTGAACTTAATGCCTGTGATTACAATGGTAAATCCCTCAATACCTTGCCAGGATGAGAGCCGTTAGTAAATGATTTGACATGTTTAAATGGGTATTTAGCCCCAAAGAGAGATTTCTAGCTGTGAAAAACATAAACTATACCAACTACTGAAATCTGAGCTCTCCCTCAGGGCCACTTCATTTTATTTTATTATGATTATTCTTTTAAATCAGAGAACCCTGTGGTCTCCTAATGAGAAAATGGGCTGAAAACTTACAACCTCATGAAAACGCAAGGAGGCATTTTGTTTCTCGTTGAATACAACAAGCAAATTTACAGAGCACACTGCCTGCTGCCGTGGGGAGAGACCAATCAGCAAGATCCACTTTGGAGGCCAGCTATCCATCAGCCTGTTTATAATTAGTAACACACGCTCTGGGAGACGGGGAGAGAAGTCTCTGGGTTGGCCTGCATTTGGGATAGGTTGTAAGAAAAAGACAAAAAAATAGGATTCCATCCAACTTTTAACTTTCTGAGGATCTGCCTGGAATTAAGGTAGAGAAGTGACTCATTATCAAAGAAATCCCAGGGTAGGAGAAGTAGAAATGACCTTAGAGGTCATCTAACACATGGGGTTAAGATAATAGAGTCATTACCCATTCACACTGACACATACGAAGGGGGTCTATGTGCCAATGAAATCACAAATCTCAACGAGGCTTATTTTCTGAGGATCAGGAAAGTTAAGTGACTTTGCTCACTGTCCTTTAACCTGGTCTCTCCAGACTCCAAGTCTATCACCCTCTGAAGTGTAGCTCATGCTGTTTCTCATTAATAACAGAAGCAGAATACGAGAGAACACCACCAAAACACCGATGCATCCAATCAGCATAAAAATATATGGAAAGAAGAAGACAAACACTTCTGTACATAAGCAGATTTATTTTTTGCCCTCCCCATCCACTGACAAATAGAAGCTGATAAAAAATGGTGTAAATTATTACATTATCTCATTCTGCAAAGGCTCACTGAAATGAACATTTTTATTTATTAAAAAATTTATTTATAAAAAACTCAAAATAAAAATTAAACTAAGCCCATTCATGTAGTTTAAAAAGCCTACTCTCCCCACCCCCATCCTTGTTTTCTAGGCTACATCACATATAAAAAAGAAACTCGTAGAGATTCCGGATGGATTCCTGAATATTAAAAATAATCCTGACCCATAGGTAAGAATTGTTTTTTGAACAAGCAAGAGTGTTATCTTTAATAGTGTGTTAAACACTGTAGGTCAAAGTTGTATTTCCCTTCTGTTGAGGTCTCTTTGCCATTGGCCTTCACTTTTCCCAGTTCTATACAGACCAAAGACCTCCTAGTCATTCCTGCTTCTCATACATGACTGTAGATTGTACAATTGTTCAAGACAGTCAACATTGCAATCCCCACCCCCCAAATAAACCAGATTCAGGGGGCTTACAATAATAGCATACAAAAGGACAAATCAGTAATCAAAGAGAACCAATGTGGCCTATAATTCCTTGGGGAATTATACAGACCAAAGACCTCCTGGTCATTCTTCTTTCTCATCTATGACTGTAGATGGTACAATTGTTCAAGACAGTCAACAATGCAATCCCCACCCCCCAAATAAACCAGATTCAGGGGGTTTACAATAATAGCATACAAAAGGACAAATCAATAACCAAAGAGAACCAATGTGGCCTATAATTCCTTGGGGAAAGTCTTCCACAAGAAGAGATAACAATTTTTCCTTGGCTCTGCGGGGGCCTGAGCATCTTGCCCCCAGCAAGGCAGGAATCTCAGTTTGAAAGTTAAGTAACTGTAGTGGTTGGCTTGTGTGCACATCCATTGGGAATGTACAACCTGAAATTCTTTGACAGCAGAAGATCATGTTCTTAATTTGTGCTCATCACCTACATGGTCATGAAGGTAGAAAGAAATTCCATTCCTTTCTGTTCACCTTGAGTGAGGATGAACATGATTCAAAGTGGGCTGTGTGCCATCCAATTAATTCCAAGGCACAGCCCTGGTACAATAGGAAATATAGGTTCAATAGGAAAAGTACACTTGCCCCAGGGGTGGAAAGAATCCCAGGGCAAACAAGAGAGAGTGTGTGTGTGTGTATGTGCTTGAGTGCATGAGTGTGGGTGCTTATGTCAGGTTCCGTGTTAAATAACAGAAGGAAAGTGCATTTTTTATTAATGCCAATAGGAAAGCTAACTGAAATTAACACAAAGAACATAGCCACCTGAACCAAACAGGCTTCAAAGGCCCAACACAGATTTCTTAGTTCACAGTTTCCCTAAGAAAAATGATCCCGTTTCGCCTGCAGCTAAAAGGTCAACATGGTTCAAGCACCATGGAAGATCTAAGCAAATGCTACATTGATTTGGGGAAAGAAGGGACAGAGGGAGAGAGGAAGAATATTCTCAACATTCTAGGCTCTTCCCTCCTTCCCTGCTCTCCTCAAGTTTTCTGGCCCAGTTTATCTTCCATTTTTCCTCAGCTTTATTTGACCTGGAAAATGTGATTGTCCTTGAAACTCTACCACAGCTTCATCACCGGTTTGTCATATCAAAGCTGCATCAACTCATGGACGCTGGGAATGGTCTGAACTCATTAGAAAGCTTCCTGAGGTTACCATTTTTGTAGGCGCTCTTCTAAGACTTCACATTTACTCCAAAAAACCTGTGAGAAAAGAAAGATACATGCATATGAATGCAAGAACTGTGGCATTAGATTGTGAGCTCCTTGAGGGCAGGGACTGTCTTTTGCCTCTTTTGGTATCCAACGCACTTAGCACAGTGCCTGGCACATAGTAGGTGCTTCATAAATGTTTACTGATTGATTGACAGAAAGAAGTGGTGAATGTGAGGAATTTGCTGAAATACTAGAAGACTTTGGGAATAGGGTTTTTGTTGCTGTCCAATCATTTCAGTCAGCATGCCCGACTTTCTGTGACCCCATGTGGGCTTTCCTTGGCAAAGATATTGGAGTGGTTTGCCATTTCCTTCTCCAGCTCATTTGACTGATGAGGAAACTGAGTCAAACAGGGTTAAGCAACTTACCTCCTCCTCCTCCACCTCCACACCTTCAGTAACCCACTGATACCTGCTTACTTATTGTCCTTTGCTAAGGATACTCTGTCCTCTACCTCCTTGCATTTGCCCTCACTGGCCCGGGTTCTGAAAGGTTCTCCTTCCTCACCTCTTCCTCTTGACATCCCTAGGTTCTTCCTAGACTCAGCTCAAGGGCTTTTTCTTCAGGAAGTTCCCCCCCCACCCAGCCTTTCTACCTCCTATCTACTTTGTAACTCTCTTTACTTACATGTTTCTCCTATTAGCATGGAAGCTCCCTGAAGGCAGAGATTATTTGTGTGATTTTGCCTCTCTGTATCTTCAGTGCTTAGCCCGAGTACTTAATGGACTGATTATCTCAGAGGTGCCTCCTAAAAACAAGTTTGTGTTCTGGATCCCTTGGGCAGTCAGCTCACTGAAGCCTATGGACCCCTTCTCAGAATCATGTTTTTAAATGCATAAAATAAAATACAAAGGATTACAAGAGATGCCTCTGGCCTGTGGCCCTTTCTGGTGAGTCCCTGGTGTGGACCGCCATTTCATGAGGCTCTATTATCAATGCAATACTATCAAGACATTATTTTTAAAAGTTCATGCCCTCCCCTCCACCCAGCCCATGTGTAACCCAAGGCAAGGAACTACTTCTTGGTGTTCCAGGTAAGTTACTAACTTGCAGAAGAGATGGAGATAAGTCTGTCTACTTGAAGATGACCCCTCCCTGAAGAACCCACAGGCAGAAATAAAAAAAGAAAAGAATGAGGTAATATACATGTCTGCACACACATATACACATATATGCACACACACATAATCAATTCAGAATGGGTATTTTTTGGAGGAAAAGGAAGGGAAATCTATTCAAAATTCCAAATCAAACCCATCCCCTTGTTTTATGATGTGAAAGGCTTCTATGTTCCCCAAGTTTCCTCACTACCAGGCTATTCTCAATCTATTTGGTGCCCAAGGATGAAATAACAAAATGATGGGCCACGTGGCATGCATGCACTTGTGTGTGTATGTGCAGATGTATGTAATGTTTTTTAAAACCCAAATTTCAAAATGCCTGGTTAAGAAGCCTTGGTCTAGGGTCAGAGGACCAGGGTGATGCCTGATGCTGGTGTTGGCACTCTGCCACGTCATACTATCGTTAACCCTTTTTTTTCTCTTTCTTACAATAGTTATAAAAAAGTTAGACACAGAAAATTCATTTATGAAATAAATGTCATGTTTCCTAATTTCACAAATATCTACCCTGCAAATAAAACAGAGGTAAAGAGCTCACTGAGTGTGTGGCTGTATAGTACTATCTATGCAACAGCTTCTATAGCAACGATTATCATTTTATTTGAAAGTCCCTGATCCTTCTAGAATTGACAAGGAGCCCATTTGTCAGGGACAAATACGATGAGATATTTTGCTCTGGCTGTTAAAAAAAAAAAAGACAGTATATTGATTTCAATCATAAGCTGAAACAGAATTAGCAGGATCCATGACACCGACATTAGTTCTGAAACACTCTATGCCATAAATAAGCTTATTCATCTCATTAATAAGATTATTATGGTTATTATCTTTATAGGTAACAAATATGAAAAGTGTGAAGGATTTTATCAATAAATGTTGACTTTTTTGTGTTTTGAAGTTTGTTATAACAGTGTAATAAATTCTTTAGCAGAATAAATGATGAGCTGATATATAGATGGATGAATAGATAGAGCATGTATTAAGCATTTACTGTCCATCAGGGATACATGCTAGGATTACAAATATAAGCAAAAAAAGACAGTCTATACCAGGGGTGAGGAACCTGCAGCCTCAAGGCCACATGGGGCCCTATAGGTCCTCAAGTACAGCCCTTTGACTGAATCTAAACTTCACAGAACAAATCCCCTTAATAAAAGGATTTGTTCTGTTAAAACTTGGACTCAATCAAAAACCTAGAAGGCCACATGTGGCCTAGAGGCTGCAAGTTCCCCACCCCTGGATACCTCCAAGGAGTTTTACATTCTAATGGAAGAAGACGACATTTAAAAAGGCAAGGTTGATAGAGAGGTGCCGAGAGGGAGGAGTATTCACAAGAATGAAGTGAGCATTGCCTGGGAGCCTCATGAAATGGCGGTCCACACCAGGGACTCACCAGAAAGGGCCACAGGCCAGAGCCATCTCCCAAGTGAGAAAAGAGTGGGCAGTGAGATGGAGAAATCCAGAAAGTGAGGAATAAAACTATTTGGATATTTTTAATGAAAAAGAGGAGGAGGATGGAGCTGCATAAAGTTTAAAAACCAACATCATAATCTATAGACCAGAAGAATTAAGAAGGTATAATCAACACAAATACATATGTGTGTATATGTATATGCATGTATAAGTATATGCGTGTATGTATATAACCCAGCAGTATGCTGTGTTCTATAGAACCCAGTAATGCACAATCAAAAAGGTCACATCTTTGACTAACATACAGTTATCCCTTTCACATCACGACTTTCCACATCACAGTTTCAATATAATGTGGGTCAGCATAAGAAATTAAATGGGAATTTGGGGAGAGTTTGGAGGAAGCCACAGATGACACAGAAAAAGTTTAGAAACTCAGAAATGCATAAACAATTTGTCCAGTATTGTACAATATCAACATATTTTATCTTCTACTACTACAATAATTCAGACTTCTTCTCTGATACAAAGGGAAGGCCAAAGAGTGTTATGCGGATTTTCCAGATCACTGGGGCGCTGAACCACTAACCCCTGAGATCTCCACGTACCTTTCAGGATACCATGGACCTCAACAGAAGCGTCATTTTCCAGGCAGTTGTACAGGTTCTGGGCTGTTGCGTTCTTCCGTTCCCTCTCTTGCCATTTCTTCAGCATTCTGAACTTGCAAACTGTAATGTCTTCACAATTTTCCTGAATGGCGTCGATGTCAGCAATTTCTAATCCCAAATTGGCAATGCCAAGCTCGATCCACTCCTTCCCAAATTTCCTAGCAAGAGTCATCAACTGCTGATCTGATAGCACCTCCTTCTTGATGGAATCTAACAACAGAGGAGAATTTTAGCAATTGGTTCTGACTGTAGTCTGATCACTTATAACCATTTATAATGAGAACAGACACCCCTAAAGTCAGTCAATAAACATTTACTAAGTGCCTACTATGTGCCAGGCACTATGACAAGTCCTGGGAATACAAAGAAAGTGAAAAATCAGTCCTTGCCCTCAAAAAGCTTACAGTCTAACTCACAGGTTCCCAAAGTACCCTCCCACCCCAGGCAATGGAACAATCCAGGAGGCTGGTAGTAGCCTTGGGTGCAATTAGGGGGCTTTGAATAAAAATAAGGGGGTGGAGGAAGCATAAGGAAAGAAAAGATAAGAAAATTTTGAAAAATAGCTCATACAGGTTTCATCTATTGTGTAACAGAGTTAATGTAGTAGTGATTACATTATTTTCCAAATAAGCACACAAAACGCAAGTTGTAACTGATCAGCGGTGAAGTCCACCAACAGGTCTTAACAAGCAAGTATTGGCAGGTGAGCATGTTGCGCATTGTCAGGAAGTCCAGCATGCATGGGCAGGGATAGGTATGTGTAATGACTCATTTACATTACAATACTATACAGTTACATGATGCAATATTGCATCCTCAAAATTTCAATGCAGGAAAAAACCCACAAATTTACAATAAATTATTAAATTTAAGATGCGTCATTTTTTAAAAAAAAATATTTTATATTTTTTGAAATGACACAGATTAAAAAAAAAAGTTAAAGGGTTAAAGAAAGTAGATTTCCAAGGGGGCGCTAAGTAATTTTTTTTTTGAAAAGGGGGCAGTAGGCCAAATTTAGGAACCTCTGGTAATAGATGAGCTAACATGCAAACATGACGTAAACAGGATAAATAGGAAATAATCAACCCTAGCATTAAAGGAGACTGGGAAAAGAAGCTTATCAAATGCTTTCACTGTGCAAAAGCACTAGACTGGGGCTGAGGAGTGCCTCTGATACTAGCTATGTAACAGCTTTCTTGCCCTCAGTTTCCTCATCTGTAAAATGGGGCAATAACAGCGCCCACTTCATGATGTTACTGTGAGGATAAAACAAGGTAACTGGATATGAACTGCTTTGCAAACCGTGAAGCACTAACTAAACATTAGCTGGCATTTTCTACACTCCAGGCAATCGTGCCTTTCCAACCTGCACATTGAAGTAATAGGAAGATAGAAGAATGGACTGAGAGCTGGCAGCTCATCCATTTTCCACATTTTATGGTCAAGGAAACCTTGATCCAGCAAGGTTAAATGACTGGCCCAAGGCAATCAATGAATAAACACTTAGTAAGGCCTACTATGTGCCACAGGTACTCTGCTAAGTGCTGGGGATACAAAAAGAGGCAAAAGACAGTCCTCATCCTCAAGGAGCTTACTATCGAATAGGGGAGACAAGCAAACACATATATACAAAGCAAGCTCTATACAGAATAAATAGGAAGTAATTAACAAAGGGAAGACATTGGGATTAAAAGGGATTTGGGAAGGCCCCCTGCAGAAGGTGGAATTTTAGTAGGGACTTAAAAGAAGCCAGGAAGGTTAGTAAGCACAGCAGAGGAGAGGGAGAGTTCTAGACATGGGGGGAGGCCAGTGAGAATGCCCCGAGATGATAATATAATAAAAATGACAATTCTACCTAAATTAATTTACTTGTTCAGTGCCTTACTAATCAAATTACCAAAAAAATTATTTTATAGAGCTAGGAAAAAAAATAACAAAATTTATCTGGAAGAACAAAAGGTCCAGAATATCAAGAGAATTAATGAAAAAAAAATGCAAGAGAAGGTGGTCGAGCCATACTAAATCTAAAACTGTATCATAAAGCACCAATCATCAAAACTACTTGGTACTGGCTAAGAAATAGAGCGGTGGATCAGTGGAATAGGTTAGGTACACAAGACACAATAGTCAATGACTATAGTAATCTACTGTTTGATAAACCCAAAGACTCCAGCTTCTGGGAGAAGAACTCACTATTTGACAAAAAGTGCTGGGAAAACTGGAAAAGAATATGGAAAAAACTAGGCATAGATGAAAATCTCACACCATATACCAAAATAAAGTCAAAACGGGTTCATGATTTAGATATAAAGGCTGATACTATAAGCAAACTGGGAGAGCAAAGAATAGTTTACCTGTCAGATCTATGGAGAAGGGAAGAATTTACGACCAAACAAGAGACAGACGACATTATTAAATGCAAAATGGAAAATTTTGATTCTACTAAATTAAAAAGGTTTTGCACAAACAAAGCCAATGCAACCAAGATTAGAAGGGAAGCAGAAAGTTGAGAAACAATTTTTACAGCCGGTGTCTGATAAAGACCTAAACATACATATAGAGAACTTAGTCAAATTTATAAGAATACAAGTCGTTCTGTAATTGATAAATGGTCAAAGGATATGAACAGGCAGTTTTCTGAGGAAGAAATTAAAGCTATCTGTAGTCATGTGAAAAAAAATGTTCTAATCCATTATTGATTAAAGAAATGCAAATTGAAACAATTCTGAGGTACCACATCATAACTATGATATTAGCCAACATGACAAAACAGGAAAATGACAAATGTTGGAGAAGATGTGGGAAAATTGGAACACTAACGCATTGTTGGTGAAGTTGTGAACTGATCCAACCATTCTGGAGAGCAATTTGGAACTATGCCCAAAGGGCTATAAATAAAACTGTGCATACCCTTTGATCTAGCAATACCACTACTAGGTCTGTATCCCAAAGAGATCATAAAAAAAGGAAAAGGGTCTATATGTACATAAATATTTATAGCAGCTTTTTTTGTGGTGGCAAAGAATTGGAAATTGAGGAGATGCCCATCAAATGGAGAATGTCTGAACAAGTTGTGGTATATGAATGTAATGGAATTACTATTGTGCTATAAGAAATGGTGAGCAGGTGAATTTCAGAAAAACCTTGAAAGACTTGTATGAACTGATGTTTAGGGTAGTGAACAGAAACAGGAGCACATTGTACACAGTAATAGCCACATTGTGCAATGACTGACTTGGTTAGACTTAGCTCTTAAAGCTCTTAGCTCTGAGCAATGCAATGATCTCAGACAATTCCAAAAGACTCATGATTCTATCCACATCCAGAAGAACTATGAAGTCTGAATGCAAATCGAAGCATATTATTTTCTCTCTCTTTCTCCTTTCTCGTGGTTTTTCCCTTTTGTTCTGATTCTTCTTTCACAACATGACTAATGTGGAAATATGAAAACAAAAGAATGCCCAGAGCTGCAAGATGGAGCTGCTTGTTTGTGGAATAGCCAAGAGGCCAATTGGTGCCACTGGATTAAAGAGTATAGAGGGAGGAGTAAGGGGTAGAAGGGGTCAGGTTATAAAGGGCTTTGAATGCCAACCAGAGTATCTTGCAGTTGATCCTAAAGGCAATATAGAGCCACTGAATTTTATTGAGTAGGACATGGCATGATCAGACTGCACTTTAGTGCACTTTAGTGGCTGAATGGAGGACGGATTGAAAGGGAGACAGACTTAAGGCAGGCAGACACCTCCCCCACCCCTAGCTGTTGCAATAGTCCGGGTGATGAGGGTCTGCACCAGGGTAGGAGCAGTTGAAGAGAGAAGGGGCTGTACTGGGGAGATGCTACAGAGGTGAAATCTACCAGAGATGGTGCTGAAGAGAAATCAATGAGATGCCACAGAGGTGAAATCTACAAGAGATGGTGAAGAGGTGAAATCTACAAGAGATGCTCCAGAAGTGAAATCAACAAGACATGCTACTGAGGTGAAATCTACAAGAGATACTGTAGAGGTGAAATCAACAGGCCTTGGCAACAACTTGGATATGGAAAAAAGGAGTCCAGGATGACTCCTAGGTCAGGAGCCCGAGGGATTGAGAGGATGATGTTGCCCTCTACAGTAATAGGGAAGAGGGGAGGAGATGAGAAGGAAAGATAATGGGTTCCATTTTGGACATGTTGAGTTTAAGATATCTACTGGACATCCAGTTTGAGATGTCTCAGAAGCAGGTGGAGTTGTAAGAGTGCAGGTCAGCAGAGAAAATTAGAACGGGAAAGGTAGATTTCAGCATCAACATCACAGAGATGGTAATTAAATCCATGGAAGCTGACAAAAATCACTAAGTAAAGTAGTATGGAGGGACAAGAGAAGAGGGCCCAGGACAAAACCCTGAGGGATACCTATCGCTAGAAGGCATGATCTGGAGGAGGATCTAGCAAAGGAAACAGAGAAAAAATGGTCAGATAAGTAGAAGAACCTGGAGAGAAGGGTGTCCCAAAAACCTTGAAAAAAAGAGAGTATCACGAAGAAGAGAATGATCAACAGAGAGGTCAAGGAGAAAGAGGATACAGAAAAAGTGGCAGACCACAGGTCCACCTCCAGGTTCTCCAAGTCTTCCCACGACACCATGCCTGTAAAATAAAATCACAATGAAAACAAGAACTTGAAACTCTCCAGTGATGATGACATTCGATAAAATCATTCTTTCCATTTGCATTGGATTACTTGATCAGGGAAAAATAAGAGTAACCTCAAAAGAATTAACTCAACTCACAAAGAAAACTCTACACTATGCCCCTTTCTCCCCAAGCACGTCCAACTGCTTGTTGCTGCCTCTTTCCGAGTATGCCAGTCTTGTATGGAAGCATTAGCACTACTAGAGATCAAGATACCTGAGTTCTTGTTTCCACTGGGTCATCGGAAAACACATTTCCACATTAAAAGAGGATCTTCCTGTGGAAGAATGTGAGGATTCACAGGACAACAACTGTAACAATCTTCGTATTCCTGGAAACAGTATTACTAACTTGGAAGAGAACAGAGATTTCCCAGAGACCTTGAAGGAATGACAAATTGAAATGAATCTCAGGAGGCAGTGTGGTCTAGTGAAAAGAGCCCTCCTCCTGGAGTCAGAGGCCTTGGGTTCAAATGCTGCCTCAGATGATTACTAGCTGTGTGATGTCGGGCAAGTCATTTAACTTCCCTGAGCCTCAGTTT